CCCCAAAACCCCAAAACCCCAAAACCCCAAAACCCCATCTGCTGAATTTCTTGAAATTTTTTATAGAAATTTTGAATATAGGCTGTTAGAAGATATTAATAATTGATAATATCATTTAAATATGGAACAGATCGACCAAGTGATAAGCACATAAATAGCTCCATACCTGGAGATGATTGAGCAACTCCAACAAAAATAGAAGGAAAAAGAAGCAGAAATAGTAGTGCTAAAGTATGCCTTGCTAGAAATGGATAGGAAATTCTAAGAACTAGAAAAGAAGACCAAAGCAGCCCCAGCCCCCGCAGCTAGAGCTGGAGGTAGAACTACTGCTTCAACTGCTCCTAAGACTGGTGCTGGAGCTACTGGCAAAGGTTCAGCCTTAACCACTCCAAGAGGAACATCAAGGTCAGCACAGCAACCTACAAGCATGCAGGATGCCAGACAAAGATCTAAGACCCCCACATCCAATAGAATGTAGAACTCCCTAAATGCTTCAATGACCTCTAAGACAGGTGTTAATAGAGAAAGCGTGGTAGGCAAAGGTGCCACCAGTACTACTAGAGATACTTCAAAGTCTAGAAACGGAGAACTTTAATCTTCTGGTCTTAAAAAGGCAGCAGTAGGCGGGTCATAAAGATAAGCCAAGCCTGAAGAGAAGAAAGCAGTAGGATCATCAAAAGCAGCAGCAGTAGATAGGAATTCTCGAGCTTCTAGTAGACAAGGAAGAGAGCCGTCTTCAAATACCTCAACTTTAAAGAAAGGAGCATTAGGAGCGAAAGGAAACACTCAAGATTAAAGCTTCTCAGGAAGACAGAGTGATGTAGGATTGAATCAAAGTCTAATCTCTGAAAATCCAGGTAAGAATTTCATGAAGTATTGATAATATATATTATAGTTACTCATGCCACTTTCGGGAAAGCCACATGCTAAATGTATCCATGGGAGAAGAAACCATCTAGAACTGATCCAAGTGTCAAGCCTTCAGTTGATCTCAAATTAGCATATGTCCCCTCATACAATGGAAAAAATGCTAGAAATAATATTTAGTTCATTGACGGACAGCACATCATATTCTTTGTATTAATAATATTTTAAGGCTAATCATGTTTTATAGTCTTCAACAGTAGGAGTTATTATGAATATTGAGACTTATTAACAACAAATCCTTACAGGTCACACAGATGAGATAGTTTGCATGAGTTATTAGCCATTAACCAAAACTCTCTGTACTGCATAAAAAGCAGCCTCTAAAGATAAAGATCCTTATTTCATTATCTGGGATCTCAATACTAATGAAAAGTTAGTAATGGGAGCTTCATATCAAAAGTCAATTTAATAAGTAGCTGTTGACGAATCAGGTAGCTACCTCATCACAGTAGGTGGAACAGATAAGACTTCCGTCTGTCTTTGGGCTATCAAAGACTTCGTCGATGAATTTAAAAAAGACAAATTTTAAGCAGTAGTTAGAGGTATTCAAGCAAGAGCTGAGTTTGATCTGCCAAAACTAAATGTGCATTAGATTAGAATAGATACCTTAACTAGTCATGAGAATATCATTAACATATGGATGGGTACAGACAAGGGTGTAAGATCAGTCCAAATTGATACCAAAGCTAGATCAATTTAGGAAAGCAAAATTTAATCTTAACTAACTAATCAGAATAATGTGTATGATATCTAATTTGTAGATGATGAGGTATACTTTGGCTGTGAGGATGGAGTCGTTATGTTCCTTGCAAAAAATAGATAAGATTTAGACTCATATGATGTAGATGGCAAGTCAGTGTAGAGCTTAGGCTGCGTAAGAAGAAGTGGAGGAAATGTCTTGATTGTTTTAACAGAGGAATCTGCTAAGGGTTCGATATATGGCTATAAAATTCTTAATGAGCAGTTTGATTTAGTAGATCAGGAAATTTTGACTAAATTAGGGTCAGAAAATCTTAAATTCAAGCCTAAAGCTGTCTGCGTATACGATGAATTCGTTATTATTGGATATGAACAGAACACTATTATCAAGTATGACCTAAATACAAATCAGGTAAAATAATCTCATCAATTTAATGTTTATTAGAGAGAAGTATTGATATCAGGACCATTCTTTTAGCCATAATACTTAGCTGTACATCCTCTTCACAAAGTTTTTGCAATTGTTGGTTTGGATAAATTCTTGAGACTCTACTCTTACAATTTCGCAGGTGATAGAGTTAAAAACTGCTTAATTAATTCTATTGAACTTTAAAACGAGGCTAAGTCATGTGACTTTTCACCAAATGGAAAATTCTTTTGCCTAGGCTATTAAAATGGAGTATTTGAAGTTTTCTAATTATATGATAACGATGGAGAATACTTCTAAATCGAATGTCTGAAGCTCTTCGACTTGAATAGAAAATATGCAGTGTAATGTGTGAAGTTCTCTCCTGACGGAAGATATCTTACTATTTCTTGCCATAAGGATCTGGTAGTATTCAGCGCCTAGTCTGAAGACTTTGACCAAGAAGGATTATTAAAAGGTAATACTTAAACAGTGACATTCCTTCAATATGACAAGCAATCCTAATACGCAATGACTAATTCAATCGATGGCTAAGTATTAGTCTGGGAGCTTATATCAGGTTCCTTTGCCAAGACTGATCCAGCCAAAGTTAAGGATCTTGAATGGGATAGAAAATGCTGCGTGTATACATGGGACATTCAAGGAGCCTGGAGTAAGTTTAGATTATATTATACTTTATTTATAGCTCCTGACATGAAAGAGACAGACATGAATTAGGTCAGTATATCCAGTGATAATCAGCTGATAGCAGTAGCTGAGAACCTTGGAAGAGTTAAAGTATTCTGCTACCCAGCTTATATTCCAAGACAAAACTTCTTAAGTCTTGATCATGGACATGTGAGCCACGTGATAGGAGCACAGTTCACTAATGATGACAACTTCCTCATCACATTGGGAGAGCAAGATTGCACTGTTATGATTTGGGCCTATAAATCAGTGAATTAAAACAGCTCTGACAATAGCACAAGCTCCCCCCTCAATCTCTAGCTAGATACAAGTAAGTTTTAATCCTGTTAACCGATATCTATAGAAAAACTAATGAAGCTTGACGACTAATGAGAGTGAAGTGAGATATAAAATCATTAATAATTCTATTTAAGATTCTTAAGCATTCAAAAATAAATAACAATCATATCTTTAATAAATTAGCTTATATTACATCATTATTTTCTGGGGGTGAGTTGGAAAACTCTGTGTATATAACGTTATTCGAAAGTCTTTTTGCTTATACATCCAGATTATTATTGAAATCCTAGTCTTAAAAGTTTTTATATTCGTCTACAGCAAATCCCTCAAAGTCATGGTCTACTCTACCAAGTACAGAAGCTTTAATACTTCCATTGTATATACTTCTTGACTCTGCATTATTTAGCATTCGTTTAGCACCATACATAGAGTCAAAGCACTTGAACATAAATCCTGTTTTTGTGGAAACTACACTCTGTCTGCCACTAATGAAGCTTCCAATAACTGACTTATCAGAGGCTATTGTTTTACATCCTTTTTCTTTATTTTACTTTGGAGTTTACTAAACAGTAGGTTTGTACTCAGAGAAAGTTCTTCCAACCATTGGTATGCTACTGAGAAGAGCTCCCATCGAGAGTTTAGGAATATTCCAAAAATTTTATAAATTATTTCTAGATGATCCTTTTTAGGGCTTTGAATTCTTGTTGTAGAACTTTGGATCTATGTCTTATATTTCTTGTCTCCCCTCTTAAGAGGAACTTGAAACTGCGTATAAATTGTGAGAAACGGGAAATAGATGCTGATATTTCTAAATATAAATTATATGTTTGTAAAGTTTACTTTTTAGTACTCTTCGAACTTTTTGAGGTTATCTCTTGTCAGATTAAGATATGATTGGCCATTCTATTAGATCTCTTCAAATGATGTCTTAGGTAATGAGTCATCAGCATCAGGATTTTCCTGGATAATAGAGAGATTTGCAATCATATTGACACATCCGGGTCCATTTTTGCTCTTACTAAACGGACTAGCGAATGTTATTTACTTCTGCATTGAGATAATCTTTGAGTTAGATAATTTATCCTTTGAATGAGCTATAAACAGTTTTACAATGTATTTTATCCTTACATTAATTATTAATTGGAATCGTAGGCTTTATTAACTCATAATTAGCACCTGCACCTCCTATCTTTAGATTGGTAATGCTGTACGAATGGCCCATAGTTTGTTTTAGTTTCATCATCTATTGCCTCTTGAGAATTATATCATCTTCTAGTGCCTCAACTTTCTTAAGTAACTCATCTCTATTTTTATTCAATTCCAAGTAATCTCGATAAGGCTATAATTGAGTGATTCATTAATTAAAGATATTAAAATGCTTACTTTTCCCATCTGACAGATAAACTTAATCAGATACTTGTGATTGGTGATCTCACTTTTTAACTCAATCTCAAGATTGCTATGCAGCATAAAATGATTTTTGTATTCAAGGATTAGATTGGGAAGTACGATTTCATCATACATCTTTTCGATATCTCCTCTCTTAAGAGAGACTTCGTTGACCGACCTTTTGCGCTTAATCTTCTCTGTAGTTATTATTTGCAAGAAAAACTCATCAAAATGATGCGCAACCTCGAACTGCACTTTGTCGTCTCTCCAGCAAGGCCTCTCTTGAATAGTCTGGTGAGATTGAAAGATAATCTCTTTTTCGTCCTCGTATTTTCTTAAAACAAGTAATCGAAACTGGAAACTCTCGGTATCTTATTTTTTCACAATATCTGTTTTCTCAATTGTCATCACAGCTTCACAATTCTTCCTATTTGCAATTAACATTAAATAATTCTCAATCTTACTGTTGATTCTTCTGACTTGCTTAACCCTTGCTTGAGCCTATGAATGATCCTCTACTTTGATCTTGATTAAACTTTGAAATATCAATGCTTTGCAATGTTAAGTCAATTTTTGCTATCTGCAAATTTAAGGATTCAATCTCATTTTCAATCTGCTCTATCCCCTTAAGCCTAGCTCAAAGAATTATAAAAGAGAGATAAAAAATCATACAGATTAATCTAGGCGTCCTCTTAGAAGGCAGTGGCACTCTTTGAAGGAGTGTAGCTCATCTTCATCATTGATAACATTTTTATATATTATCATATAATTTAAATTATCCTCTTCTATCTCTATTATAACCAATTAGTGGGGTTTTGGGGTTTTGGGG